TAAATAACTCGAAAAGAGCCAATGCTCGGTGCGTTAGGCAGCTCCGCTCGGCGCGCGGAGCGGAACCTAAATGCCGAACGGTCCGGTTTCCAGAGCGGCAGGCCTACACAGGCGGCGCACCGTCAAGATGGCGGCGGGTGTGCGGAAACGCGCCCGGGCGGGACCCGCATCCCGGGTGGCGGGGCGCTGCGGGCAGTGGCTGCGCCGCGCCTGGCAGGAGCGGCGTCTGTTGCTCCTGGAGCCGCGCTACACGCTGCTGGTGGCTGCCTGCCTCTGCCTGGCGGAGGTGGGCATCACCTTCTGGGTCATTCACAGGGTGGCATGTGAGTCGCCGAGGGGGAGGGGAGGGGAGTGGAGCGGAGAAGGCGGGAGGGAGGTAGAACCGAACTCCTCACTTAAACCAGGATTTGGATTCGGAGCTTAAACCCAGACGCAGGTCCACTTAGTCATCAATTACAGACCCATATCTTTTACCCCAAATTCTAAGCCTATTCCACAGAAAACCAAACCTGATCTAATCCCTCCCCCATGACGGAAGGGGCAATCCTAGAGATTGGCCCTCCGCCCTGAAGGTACAGTTGGCCGGGTCAAGAAAGTAAACCAGCCTGGAAGGCAGAAGACCTCAGTCCAAGTTAATGTACGGCTGCTACTGCTCGTTTCCGAGTCTCCCCCAGCTGGGTCTAATCTGCTCAATACTGAGGTCTTTTTTAGCGGTGGAACATAGACCTTAAGTGAGGGTAATACTAAGAAGTGAGACTGAAGAAGTTGAGAAGTTCAGATCATAAAGGAGTCTAAACTGTGTTAAGGACATAGTTAGCACGGTAGTTAAGAATCAGGATCCTATAAATTCCAATTTCAACTCTACCCTTCCAGCTCACTGATCTTTAGCTAGTCACTTAACTTCAATAATTCATAGATTACTCTTCTAAAAATGGGAATAATAGAGGTTGAGCTTTATTTAAAGAGCCTTGGGAATTGTTGGAGGGTTTTAAGCAAAGGGACATGATATGATTTCTATTATAGGAAGAGTTCCTGATTGCAGGGTGGCAAATATATTGCGGTAGGGTGAAAGTGGAAGCTGGGAGCCTAATTAGGAAGCTATTGCATAATTGAGGGTACAGGTTATGTTAGGCCCAAATTTGGGTATGTAATAGTGGAGAAGGATGAGACAGCAGATACATGTAGAATGAAGAATAGACAGGACATGGTAAGATGGGTTTAGAAATGAAAGAGAAGTTTCAGGGTTTATGACCTGGGCAGCTGGGAGGTTGATGGTGCCATTCATGGAATCCAGGAAGGGGAGCAGGTTTGGACTGGAAGATTATAAGTTCAATCACAGATGTGTTGTATTTGAGGTGCCTGAGTTCACCCAAAGAATGTCAGGTATGCATTTAGGTCAGAGGTTGTGATAGAAGTCCTGAAAATGAACTGGAATTCTGTGCTTTGATGGGCTGGGGGTCTCGAGAGCAGCAAAGTTCTGGACTTGAAAGTAACCATACCATTTTTTCCTTTTCCAGATACAGAGATTGACTGGAAGGCCTACATGGCTGAGGTAGAGGGCGTCATCAATGGCACCTATGACTATACCCAGTTGCAGGGTGACACCGGGCCTCTGGTGTGAGTTGAGACAAGAGGTTCAGCGAGGGTGTGAAGGGCTGACTAGATACCAGGCTGTGTAGCCTCACCCATACTCACTTCCCTCTCATCTTTCAGGTACCCAGCCGGCTTTGTGTACATCTTTATGGGGCTGTACTATGTCACTGGCCAGGGCACTGACATCCGCATGGCCCAGCATATCTTTGCTGTGCTCTACCTGGCCACCTTGCTGCTTGTCTTTTTGATCTACCACCAGACCTGCAAGGTGAGTCCACAATACCAGGACCTGGGTCCCCAACCTGGGAGGGCTGCAGTGTGGTGATGGCTCTGGGTTGGTGAGCTGACCTTCCCCACTTTGCCCACCTCTTAGGTACCTCCCTTCGTCTTTTTCTTCATGTGCTGCGCCTCTTACCGTGTCCACTCCATCTTTGTGTTGCGGCTCTTCAATGACCCAGTAGCTATGGCGCTGCTCTTCCTCAGTATCAACCTTTTGCTGGCCCAGCGCTGGGGCTGGGGTTGCTGCTGTTTCAGGTCAACATCCCACCCACCTGGTCCCCTTTGTTACTTTTTGTATTTCCATTACTTCCCGATTTTCTGCAGCAGAGGGAGTAAGGGAGTGGCCAGTCAGGGCCCTGGTAGGTGAGTCCAGGATCTGTAGAAAGTCTCCACTCCAACCCACAACATACACATCCCCTCTTCCCATCCTCTCTTCCTTCCAGACAGCATCTGTTCTTGGCATTGGTCATTGAACATTCTTAATACTTGGTATATATTTGTTTGCTCAGTCTGGGCATAGAAACTGGGTTTCTACTCCCTACCCCCCCAGCCTCCTCCCAGGCTACCTTACCTTTCCCCCAGCAGTTCTGAGTGTGGGCCCTATCCTGGAGCTAGGTGGTGGAGGGGAGGGGTTGCGATGATGGTTGGGGGTGGGGCGTGGGGTGGCGCGTGCATCTTTGGCTGATCTCCACTCTTCCTCTCTTCTACCCACCCTAGCCTGGCAGTCTCTGTGAAGATGAACGTGCTCCTCTTTGCCCCTGGGTTACTGTTCCTTCTCCTTACACAATTTGGCCTTCGTGGGGCCCTCCCCAAGTTGGGCATCTGTGCTGTCCTACAGGTACTCCCACCTTACTCCTTCCCCTTTTTAATGAAGAGGAGGACACTCTTCCCACCTTGAGACTTCCTCAAAGCCAAGAGATAACGGTTTTGGAGTTGATTCTGGGCTGGGCAGGCACTACTTCTCTGGGCTTTGGTTTCTTTAGCTGTAAGATAAGAAAGTTGAACTAGATGGTCTCTTAGGGCCTTTCTAGCTCTGCCCATTTATGACTTAGAGTACTGTTATTACCAGTGTCCTCAGCTTCCTTGGCCCCCAGACTTTGGCAGGCGGGAGAAGGAGGCTGGCTTTCTTGCTATATTTAATGGGATTTAAGAAACCTCTGAGACTTCTGCCCTGTTCCCACTCCCTTGACCAGCACGAGGCTGGAGGGGAGCCTGGGCAGCTCTGCCGACATCACACCCATCCTCAGGTGGTGTTGGGGCTGCCCTTCCTGCTGGAGAACCCCATCGGTTACCTATCCCGCTCCTTTGACCTTGGCCGCCAGTTTCTCTTCCGCTGGACAGTGAACTGGCGCTTCCTCCCCGAGACCCTGTTCCTGCATCGAGCCTTCCACCTGGCACTATTAGCCACCCACCTCACCTTGCTCTCGCTCTTCATTCTGTGCAGGTGGCACAGGTGAGAAAGGGGAGCAGTGCCACCAGCACAGTTGGGGGAGGAGTGATGGGCCTGGGCCTTGGGGCTGCTTGGGGAAGACGTTGAGCTCATGGAGGTGAGTTTAGAGCTTGTCCCATGATGGGGGCTTGATGGATGTCTGAATGGCTTCTCCCCAGGACGGGAGAAAGTATCCTGTCACTGCTGAAGGATCCCTCCAAAAGGAAGGTTCCACCCCAGCCCCTCACCCCCAACCATATCCTTTAAATCATGGGAAGGTAAGTCTCGCCATCTCCAGGTGCAGATAGGGTCCCTGGTCAGGTAGCCCTGGATGGCTGGTGACATGGAGAGAAAAAGAGGCACTAGTAATAGGCACAGGGCCCACGCTTAGAGCTCCTGCTCTGTACCAAACACTGTCCTAAGCACTTACATGTTTATTACATGAGCATTAAACATATTTATTCTTAATTTTAAATATTATTGAGTGATCATGAGTGCTTGTCCTCTGCCTGGCACTAGACTGAGAAATTTATATATACTCTATAACATATTCTTTAATGTTTTATTTATTTTTTAGAGAGGGGAAGGGAGAAAAAGAGGGAAACATCAATGCGTGGTTGCTTCTTGCGCGCCCCCGACTGGGGACCTGGCCACCAACGCAGGCATGTTTCCTAGACTGGGAATTGAACCCGCGACCTTTTGAGTCACAGGCCATCACTCACTGAGCCACACCAGCCAGGGCTATATACACTCTAACATTTAAAGCTCACAGGAGACCCTGATATAGGGAGGCATTTTTATTATCTTCATTTACAGATAACAAAATTAGGGCTTTAAGAGGTTAATTTACTAAGCTAGGAAGGGATGGACTCACTTGGCCTCGTGGCCCCAGGTATCACTGTCTCCACCTTAGACTGAGGAGTAGGTGCAGAGAGCTTAAGAAAGTTGTCCAAAAATATGCATCTGGGAATGGTAGAACCAGGGAGCTGACCCCAAAACTTTTACCCTTCTGCTTTGGAACCTCCCTGCCTGCCCCCACCCCACCCCCAACTCCTGCCCCTTCGGCTCCTGCCCTTGGCCTTGACCACTGCATACAGATTGTTTCTATCCTCTTCACCTCCAACTTCATTGGCATCTGCTTCAGCCGTTCTCTCCACTACCAGTTCTACGTCTGGTATTTCCACACACTGCCCTACCTCCTGTGGGCCACACCTGCACGCTGGCTCACACACCTTCTCAGGTACTGGGTAGGATGACCCAGGGGAGGGGAAGGGTCAGGGAGCTCCTTGTCCCAGGGCTGTGACCACAGAGGGGCTGGGGTGAGCTAAAGGGCTGGGGCCTAGAAACTGGACAAAACCGGGAGTGTATTTCTCATCTCCAGGTTGCTGGTGCTGGGACTTATTGAGCTCTCCTGGAACACATACCCATCCACGTCCTGCAGCTCTGCTGCTCTGCACATATGTCATGCTGTCATCCTGCTGCAGCTCTGGCTGGGCCCCCAGCCCTTCCCCAAGAGCATCCCACACAGCAAGAAAGCCCACTGAGATCCACCTCTTCCCCATTCTTGGACCCTGGGTGTGGATGGACGTTGTGCACTTCCCAATAAACCTTACCAAGTCCACTTCTGTGCAGCCTATGTAGAGGTGCCTAGACCGGGTTGTGAGGGGCATGCACATGGAAAATAACTCATTCAGGCAGTTTTAAGAGGCACTTTATTGCATAGGGTTTGGGGACTGGCTCTCTCCCCTTTCACTGCACTGTACAGAGCTCGGGGAAGAGGTGGGGGGAAGGAGTGGGAGAGAGCACAGGCAGGCACTTTCTGTGGGGGCAAGAGGATCCTGGGAAGGGGATGAGAAGCAGTTGGGGGCAGGCTGCCACTCGCCTACCCCATCCCAGCACCAAGAGGCCAGCCCTGGTGGCAGTGACTTGAGTCTGTTGGGGGGCACCAGCCCCAGTGGTGGGCAGCTTTCACATGTTTGCTGGGCTGTAACACAGCAGGTGTAGCTGCAGGTTCTGGTCCCAGTGGCGTAGCAGCAGGAAGAGACCCCGGGCTGCAGCCTTGAGGGCGGCCAGGTCAAGGCCATCAGGCAAGTGCTGTGCCCGCAGCCAACAGTCGGCCTTAGCTGCCGCCAGTTCCCATTCGCCGAAGGCAGCGGCACAGCGGTGCTCCAGCCACGCAAGTGCCACTGCTGTGGCCCAGGTCCTGCCCCGAAGGTCAGTACCACCCTGCCCTCCTGCACCCTCTGAGGCCTCTGTGTCTGAACCCTGCCCGCTGTCCACCTGGCCTGGACCCTCGGAGCCTGAGCTGGGGGATGGGCTGCAGGAAGCCGTGGCACTGTCATCCTGGCTGACACCAGGGCCCAGAAGTGCCCAGGGAGATGAGGCTGAGGTGGGGCTGAGGCTGGCACGGTGCGCAGCAAAGGGTGAGGCCCGGCACAGGCGCTCCTGTGGGATGTGCACCGCAGTGCAGAAGGGGGCATCCAGGCGGAAGGAGCCGGGTGCCTCCTGCAGTCGTACCTGAGGAGAGAGGAGGTGGGGGGAGAAGTGAGCTGAGACAGTGCCCTGGCTCTGGCAATGCCACCCTCCACCTCCCGAGTCCTCACCAAGGGCAGATAGTCGTGGTCGCTGCCTTCACTGTGGCCATCACTCGCCTGGCCAGTGTTGGGGCTGCAGAGTCTACTGCTTTCTGGGCCAGCAGCCTTCCAATGACCCAGGCTGAGCCTCAAAGGAGGCTGTGGGGACATGTCTGGAAGACCTCCAGTAGGGGCTGCAGGGTCCCCCAAAGCAGACTTAGAGTTGTCATTTTGGTTCAGGTCCAAGCCACCTGCCAGAGAACCACCTGAAGTGCTGCTTCAGAACCAGGCAGTGCCGTGGTGATCCCTAAGCCCAGGCGCTTCCCACCACTTCCCCAAACTTGACTGTTACCTTTACAGTGGACAGCTGTGGGCAGAGGCGCTGCATCTAGAGGGCCCTGAGAAACAGGTGGGGTGCCTGTGGGCTCAGCCGGCTCTGCAGGGGCACAGGAGACAGGGCCAAGGTTTGTCTAGGAGAATAGCCAGTAAGATGAGGGCCAGCACTAAGAGGTTACCCAGGAGGGACTCTACCTGAGCTCCGCACCTGCAGGGCTGAGGGCAGGACCTCCCTAGTGGCAGCGTCCACCGCTACAGGGCAGGTGAAGCAGGAGGGAGCAGAGCTGATCTTGCTTGTCTGAAGGGCTCGGAGCCGGGACCTCCGGGCATGGCCTGTGAAACCAGGGAGCAGTTTGCTGAACAGGAGGGGGTGCACACTGACCACCCACCCTCTACAGAGTGCTCCATAGAAAAAAATCTTGGTGTTCCCACACCTTCTCTGTGCTTGAACAGAGTGGAGTTTCTCAGGGTCAGGACCAGTTTGGACTCCCCGACTTTGACAAGGTGGGGTTAGGTCGGTCCTTTTCACCCACAGCAGGGCTAGGCCTCCTGGCCACCTGCCATTCAGGAAGCACCAATGGGGCCCTTCCATCCACTCAGTTCAGCACTGGCCAACAGCACTTCCTGTGATGATGGAACTGTTCTCTATGTGCATGATCCAGTGTGGTAGCCACTAGTCCTGTGTTACTAATAGGCACTTGAAGAATAGCTAGTGTAACTGAAGAACCGAAGTTTGAACTGTGTATGATTTTAATAGTCTTCCTGAATGACACTTGTTTTTATGTTATGGGCACTGTGAATCTTTACAAGATCTCATTTCCCTCTGTTGGTTGCTAAGAAGCTTTCTAATTTTGGGTCCCATGCTTGCAAAGGCACATAACCTCATGGTGTGCATCTTCAATAAAATTTTATTCTCCTATCCCTTTTATTATCCATTTTTCCAATTGCCCCACCTCCTTTTTTCCTCGTTAGTGTGGGTGAGCCACCTCAAGTCACTTGTGTGCAAAGTGGGGTGCAGAGAGTGATCAAACACACAGCCCTGTTCCTCCGCCGCTCCGCCCCACACAGGCTCCTTGGTCCCTGGTGGGGCCCACCCGCCACTCACCCCAGTCCGCCATGGTCTCAGCCCCTCGGAGAGCCAGCTGCTCATTGTCCCGGACCACAGAAGCCGCTGTCAGCCGATGGAGTGCTTGGTCCCAAGCACCTTCTCTTTCAGGGGATGATGGAGGCGGTGAGCCATCATCCCCAGGCCCCCAAAGTGTCTCTAGCCCCACACCCACCTCCCAGCACATAGGCTGCTCCCCACACAGGCCCCGGATCACCACATGGCAGCGTGGGGCCTGGGGAGGCAGTGGCACTGCCGGGGCGGCTGGTTCCCCATGGGGGGGCACAGCCGTGAATAAGAAGGGTGGCTCCATCCACGTGTCCCAGTCCATGGGGGTTGGGGAGAGCAGGGTTCCTGAGGAGACAGTGGCAGGGATGGGGCAGGGTGGTGCCCTGGGCTCCACCTTCCCAAGATCTTGGTGTCAGAACACAACTCTCCATCCAACCCTCACCTGAGTCATCCACTCCTTGTCCCAGCTGCTGCCCTGACTCAGGGCCTGGCCTGTCTGGTGCTGCGCCCACAGAGGGGTGCCAGGGATGGCCAAGGACTGGGTTCACCGGGCCTGGGGGTGATGAGAGGCTTCGGCCGGCCAGAGCCACTCTGCGTCGGCGGCCCAGCACCTCAGCGCTCAAGGCCCCGACCTGCATGTGAGAAATGGGGTCCACCAGTCCGGGGATGCAGAGCTCCTGGCCATCACACACACCCACAACTGGCCGAGTGCCCCTTTGAAACCCTGACTGGCTGCTGCCACCTGTAGAAGAAACTCCCCAGTGCCATCTTGCTCCACACTGTTTCTCACTTAAGGTGGCTACGCATCTGCGTTCGTTCATGTCATGTCCCTCTCTGCCTGGCTCACTTCTACCCACTCTCCCAGATACGGCCCCTACTTTCCTGACTCCCTTGGACAGGGTTAGCCACCCTAACTCTGAGCCCCCAGAACACCACATCCCTTTGCTCATCACTGCATGCCGCCTGCTGTCATCTCTGTAGACTCACTGTGGTGAATGGATGAGAACTGAGTCTCACCTTGACTGGAGCCAGTGGGGGTGGCGGCAGGGGGCAGGAGCGGGAGCCTGCAGGCTCCCCCCAGGCCAGGCTGCGACAGCCTTGCTGAGAGGGGGGACCCAGAGGGGCACTGCCCTCCGGGGAGCCAGGGCCCTGGGACCTGGGGGACTCGCTGCTGCCCGTGGAGCCCGGGCCTGGCTCAGGGCTGGCAGAGCAGTGGGTGAGCACGTACTGCTCCCGAATGTACGAGGACTGGAAGATTCGGCGCCATATGGCTGTGTCAGAAGAAGGGTTGGGTCCAGGGTCCGTGACTGGGTCTGTCAGAGCATCAGCACCTAACGGAGGCAAGAGAATGGAGCCCGGCCCTGGTCTCTCCCGTTGCCCTGGCCCCCGACACGGCCACACACACATGCCCGGCACTCACTCTGCTCTGAGTCCCCAGCAGCCCACTTGCTGGATGGCTCTCCTGACACGGTGCCTGTTCCCAGTGGCTCTGAGGTGCCAGTGGGATCAGTGCCAGGGCTGGTGGCCGATGGCACCTCCTCCGGGGATGGGAAGACGGAGCCACCCAAGCTCTGCCAGCCAGGCTCTTGGCCCTAGAGAGGAACAGTCATTGGGAGAAAAAACAGACTAGAGTTCAACACTGCCTCTTTCCAAACAGGATTTAGGGTGGCCGACTGCAGGAAGCAATAAAGTTAACAAACCAGAAACGAAAGCCTAGCACCAAGGCAGGAGGAAGCACCCACGCTCACCACAGGGTTCACAGAGCAGCCGGCGGAGCTTCGGGTCTGGCCCTGAGCTTCCCGGCAACCAGGCAACAAGGCAAACAGTCCACTACATAGCTTTCGTGATCAAAAAGGAAGAAGCATGCTTTGTTCTTTTTCTTCGAGAGAAAGCTTTCCATGATAAAAATAACTATCATATCTCCAACTCCTACTGTGTGTCGGGTATGCTACCAAGAGCGTGTACATTGTAACCTCTAGTTGCAACGATCCTATGAAAAAAAGTGAGTCGGAGGAAACGGTCTCAGAGAGGTGACACGACTAACTCGATGTCAAATGGCCAGGGCCTGGCAGAGCCGAGACCTGAGGTTTCATCTAGGCTGTGCTCCATCTGTCCCCGAACGCTGCAGGAGATAACCCAGCGGTGCCTTCTGCAGGGCACTCTGTGAAGTAATCAGCAGGTTTTGACAAAAATCTCACAGCAAATGCTGGAGCTGTTCTCTGTGTCTGGGTGATTTGGTGACCTTTGGTAAAACCCAAGGGTAACACTTCAAAGAACAACTCAGGGGAAGACCCAGAGAGCAGGTAGGTTGCAGTCACCTGGGGTGGGGGGCGGCAGTGGGTCTCTGATGAGGCCTGGAGGTTGGGGGAGAGTTGGGTGGGTAGGCACAGGAAATGAAAGAAGGGTTTGGAAGAGATGCAGGGGCTTCTGCCATCCCAGGCCCACCTCCCACACCCCAGCCCAGGCCTACCCCAGGGGCGCGGGGCCGGAAGCCATCCACCCTAAAGAGTGAGCAGTAACCGAGCAGCTGGTCCCCAGGGTAGAGTGCTGGGATCTCCCGGGGGGTCAGCAGTGCCTCCACCGCGTCAGGCACAAACCAATCCACAGAGACGTCGCTCAGGGCGGGCTCCAGGGCCTTCCGCAGAGCCTGCACCAGCTGTGAGGAGGGGCCAGAGGGAGGCCAAGGGAGAAAAAGAGGTGCCACACAGCTGACAGCAGAACGGCTGCCCTTCCCCTGATGCCATCTGCCTAGCCTCTGGCTGAGGGGATCAGGGTCAGGCTGGGGTCAGGGGAAGGAACAGGAATAGGAATAAGCAAGGGGGCTGAGTGCTCAGTCCTCAGGGCTTGGTCCACCTCCTGGCCTGAGCTGTGCCATGTGAATGAGGCAAGATTTAGCAAGGATACGACTCGGTACCTGGACACACTGAGAATAGTATTTGGGGGGTGGTCAGAGGCCATGTCCCTCCGCCTTTGGCCTCCTGAAGCCCCGCACAGCAGCGCCTATAGCTCCTCCCCTGATTGGTATCTCAGGGGAGAGTAGGGACTGGAGTGGGGAAGAGAAGCCAGGAGACCCCACAACTGAACTGGGTTCTGGTTCAGACTCAGTGTAACTCTGGGGAAGGACTTCCAGGAGTAGGGAACAGGGTCTGGGCTGAAGCTCACCATGGGCCGCAGCCTCTCTCCAGGCCTCAGGAAGTAAGCTTGGCCCCTGCTGAGGGCAGACAGACCCTGGAGCAGCTGGTGACAGGCAGGCCCTAGCCCAAAGGAGAAGCACCTGATGAAAGAAGAGAAGCACAGTGACCTTCAGGATCCTCTCAGGGGGTCGATCTCAGGCCCCTGTCTCTGCCCACCCCGTACCTTGCTGTCCCCCTGTGCCACCTCACGAGCTCCAGGGTTTGGTGGGTAGTGACGGCTGTGGGTGAGGCAGCGGTGAGCAGGAACAGCTGCCGAGGGTGGGCCCTGTGCTGGGGCTGCTTCATGGCCCAGTCCAGCACAGCCAGCACATCTGGGGGACCTCCCGCAGCCTGCAGGGTCTCGACACTCTCACAGACCAGCTTCACCGTGTCCTGGAGAGAGAAGGCACAGGTTGGGCTGCGCTGGGCTGAATCATTTCCACTAGACCCCCAGATTCTCGGAACACACTCACATCACTGCAAAGCCTGCTCTCTGGGAAGACGGGCTGCACCGAAGTGCCAAACATGGCCAGGTTGATGAGAGTCTGGGACGGGAGCGACTTCACAGCCAAAACAATGGCATCCTGGGGAGGGAGAGGGAGGGCAGTGTGAGGCAGGTCCCACAGGCCCCGGTGAGAGTAAGGAACATTAGATTGCCAGCCCGTCCCAGATCGTGTGTAAGATGAGGGTGTGGATGTGTTAATCTGGGAGAGGCCCTGTGTGTAAGAGACTTTCTGAGACAGACTCTGGGAGGGAGAACCTAGGAGTGTGAGGGAGACTCTGAGTGTGTGAGGGACCTTTGTGCATGTGACTCTGGAGGTGTATATGGCACTTGGCTTTGGGATTAGGTGTATCTGAATGCAACTTTATGCGTGAGAGGCTCTTGGAATCTGGGAGAGAACGTTTGTGCATGAGAAGAGAGCGAGTATGTGTGTGCACGCAAGCCGCAGCCCACCTCAGCCCGCCGCCCCGCCCACCCCAGGGCGGCCCACACCGCGCCCCCACAGGCCTTGTGTGCCACACTGCTGCCATCCAACAGGAAGAGGAGCTCTCGTGTCGCTGTGCCCAGGTGTCCCGGCTTCACGCTCAGGTCCGGGCAGAAGCTCAGCATCAGCACGGGGTTCAGCAGGATGTCCTTGTGGAAGCGTCGCTGCAGGAACCACACCTGAACGTGGGAGCTCAGATGCATCTGGGGCCAGGTTTAGTGCAGCTCCAAGCTGGGCTGGCAGCAGGACCCAGCCCTGGGGCCTCTTTCTATCTTTCTAGCAGCCAGGTCAAGGCCCCCAGGAAGCTATACCTGCCGGTCCATGTCACTGTTCCTTCGCTGGAGCCTCTGGAAGTCCTGGCGGGCCCTCACCTGGGCCTCATATTCTGCTGAACTCAGGCTGCCGGCCTCCAGCATCAAGTGTGGCTGGTGGGGCTCTGGGGAGGAGGGGACATAGCCCTGTCGAGAAGTCTCTGTCTCTGGGTCCCAGCTGCCCAGTCCTGATGTCCTGGAAGGACCTGGAAGTTTCAACCTCCTTGCACCACCAGGCCCAACCTCGCAACTGAGTTGGTCCATCTGGCTTAGAGCCCAGACATCTAAATTTGAAAAATGCTACCCAGGTGGTCCTGAAGCTGGTTAGAGCTGGCCCACTGTGTGCCCCAGGCTCTCACCACTGGGGTGCAGCAGGATCTCCAAGGCCCTGTCACAGCGGTGGCCCTCGGCCAATGTGACACAGATGGTGGCTGCAGAGCTGGCATGAGGTGGGGCATCGGCCCGCAGAGCATGAGAAGGGCTCTCCAGGCCTGAGGGACATAGAGACAGGGAGGGGTGATGATCGCCCCATTCCAAGTCAGCACCAAGAGCATAAACATCACCTTTGCAGACCATGGAGGTGGGGCGGGGGGGCGGCAAGAACCACAAAGGATTCAATTCAGCTCACAGCCCAATCATAGACTCAAATGGACCAGAGTGGGTTTTCCTGCTTCCATGGGCTGGGAGGCTGATTCCCAGACCTTTTCCTGGCTGGTCAAACCAATTGCTGATTTAACATTATCCCCCACTTCTTGCACAAGAAAACTCCACTTCATCACTTGGACTGCTCTCACTGTAAGCCTCTCTCTTCCCATTGGTAAGTGGAGTGGTATGTAAATGAATGACACTGACAAACTGAGGGGTGTGTGAGTTGCACAGAAATGTCCAGAGGACGCTCCCCTGCTGTGGGACTGGAGGTTTCTACATCCTAGGTCCCTGTCTTCTTTTTGTCCTGTGTTCCTCCCATCCCTGAGCCTTGAATTATTTCCCCGTCAGCTACGCTGGGAAGGGCACCCACCTGCCAGTAGGCATGGCCCAGTCACGAGCATCTCGAAGGAGAAGGTATATGGGGCAGGGCAGCGGGCAGGGCCTAAGAACACATCCGGAGGGGCAGCTGGCTCTTCCCAGGCCAGACCTTCCTCCTGAGGGCTGCCCACCCCAAAGCAGCTGGTAGGGCTGGAAGGGAGCACAAGGAGAGTCACTGGGCCACCACCGAGACCCTTAACCCCTCTGGCTGACTGGCCCCTTCTCCACCCTGCCCATCCCAGGGGCACCGTGCCAAAGCCCCCTCACCCGCACTAGACCCAGAGAAGCCGAGGGAGGGACGAAGAGAATCACCATAGGCCCAACCTGTCGTCACAGAGCCCCGGAGGTCTGGGGGCGCCCGGAGGACCTGGCGGGGCCAGCGGGGTGAGCACAGAGGGCAGAGCCACACACAGCACCCCATCAGGCCTTGAGGGCAGCGCCCGGCTGCTGCACAGGGTCACTGTCATGGTGCCCGCCGGGGTGATGAGGCCAGTGGGCAGCACCAGTGTGGACCGGGACTGGGCCAGATCCAAGACAAGATGACCTATGATGAGTGAGAAAGGGGGTCAGAGGGGGATAGAAGCAGAAGAGATGAGGGAAGGTAGGGGTGGGAACAGGCATTGAGTCAGGGGAGCCTGGGCAAGGGGTGCTTTATGTGGCTGGAGAGACAATGGGCTGGTGCATGGGGGATGCAGGATAGAGACAAGATGATTGACAGCAGAAAGAGAGATGGATGCATGTTGACGGGATCTGGCTGTCGTTATAAAAGGGAGCAAGGACAAACAACACTGCTGACAGAGGGTTGAGGAGGACATGCATGCCCACACCATGCCAAGGTCCTGGGGGACCCACCCCTTCTGTCCCTCCACCCCTGTCTGCCCCTATCCACTCAGCCCCTGGGAATAATCTTCCTAAAGGGCCATCCCCTATGGACTGACATCTCCTGCAGCCTGGGACCCTCAAATCCCCTGCTCATGAATAAAAAGGACTTCCCCACTGCCTCCTGGGAGTGGCTTCAGAGTTTTTGACCCAAGAGGAAGGAGTTCAGGAGCAGTAATGTGCTTGGAAGCTGGCCAGAGGGCGTGAAGCTGTATTTGCATGCCAAGCACACCCTTTTACTTAGATCACAGGTTTGTTTGGAGATGCGGGGAGCCTTGCTGCTACGGAAGTGGCCAGGTGGAAGCAGTGGCAGTCAAGGCCTTGCAGGGGCTGGCCCGGCCCACCTGTGCAGCCCTGCTTCACCTCACTTCTCCACAGTAATCACTTATCCATTCTTTTGAGAATTGGTTGGTGAATAAATGAAGGGAGGGAGAGATGGAAGGTAAGAGGGGAGAAAGGGGCTTCCTGCTCCGCCAGCTGGGGCTTGAGGATGCCTGTTACCACAGAGAGGGCACAGTCTGCGCCTTGGCTCTGTGGCTCTAGCGCTGTCCTTTGGCAGACTCTCTTGTTTTGAGAAACCTAAGTTTCCTCATCCATAAAATGGGGGGCCATAGTGACTACATCTCAAGGATCACTGTAAGGAATAAATGAAATAATACATGCAAAGCATCCAACACCTAGGAGACCATTGCTGTTATTTCCGTCACTATAAAAGGGAGAAAAAGAACTGTGCTTGGACTCGTCACATGCCTCTCTAGATTCAGATGAGGTGACACCGGTGACTGGGTTTGTCGGATGTAAGTCACGATACGCACGGGGTATTTCACCACCATCCCCCAGCACAACTTAGCTCCAAACCTCCTTAGCCATTGCCCTGCCTGCAGTGCCTTTCTCCAATCCGCTTCACCGCATCCCCCTTCCTGCCAGTCAAATGATGGCTCTGCTTCCTTCTGGAACATTCCTACTCTGGCTTCTAGCTATCTTCTGGGTTTATGCCAACTCTCAACACCACTGGATTCTGTCCCACTTCTCACTCGGATTGTAAATTCCATGTGCAGAAGTCAAGTGAATGGACAAATAAGTAAATAAAAGAATGAAGTGCACTTCATGAAAACTCACACAGGGGGTGGCTTCCATCCTCACCCAGCACTCACCCAACCCCTTTGTGGTGCGAGATGCTGGGACTTGGAACTGACTAAAGCCCCGTCCCAGCTCAGGAGCTAGTGCTCCAGAAGTGGGGACAGACGTGTGACTGCCTGCCGCGTCTGTCTCCCTGGCTGAAGCCCTTGGGTCAGACCTGGGTCACGGCCCCCCAGCACCTGGCCCATGCCAGGTGCGCACTCGGTGACTGTTGAATAAAGGGATGAATCAATGAGTGGAAAAAGAATCAGTGGCCGGAGGGGGAGGAGGCAGCGCGGGACGCAGGCAGAGCAGGTGCAGGTGCAGGAACAGACTGGCGGCGGGCGTTCCCCGGACTCACCCTGCGCGCAGCGGCGGGGCACCGAGGCCCCCAAGGCAGGACCCAGCGCGCGGCAGCACGCGCCCTGCGAACGACGCCTGCTCTGCAGCTGGAAGGAGACGCGCCGTCCGGCCGCCTCTGCCTCAAAGCCCGACACTACTTCGGCCTCGGCCAGCGGGTACACGAACACACCTGGGGCGGGGGCACGAGCGGCGTCGGCTCTCGCCCCTCACCCGCTCCCCAGCGCCCTGCGCCCCCTCCGGGCCTCACCGTCAACTGGCTGCGGCTGCGGGTTGTGGTAGGTGAGCCGGGCCCGCAGGCTGAGGCAGGGTCCGTTGGCGCAGGCCCGGACCCAGGAGTCGGTGAGGGGCAGCGGCGTCCAGCTGGAGTGGCAGTACAAGCCGGGCATGGTGCCCTGGGGAGGGGTGCTGGGTGAAGGGGTGCGCAGGGTGAGCCCAAGGCAACCCCCGCGCTCGGGAAAGCCCGCTGGAGCTTCCTAACTCACGCAGGAGGACGGGACGCGCAGGGCTGAGCCGGGCTGGAGCCGGCCGACAGGTGCAGAAGGGCGGGCGGCGAGGAGGTGGGGAGCGGGGAGTGAGACCCGCATCCTCGCCCGTTACCTGGGAAGCCGGGGCGCCGCGCAGCTCCGGGCAGCGCGGGTCCGGGGAGCGGAGGGTTAATGATTAACCGGCGCTCCGGGCGCCGAGCCGTCCCGCTTCTCCAGGGGCGGAGGGCGGGGGCTCACAGCTGTTCCACCACCAGCTCCCCGGCCGCCCCGCCGCCCCGTACCTGCCGGGCCCGGGGCTCCCGGCAGCTGCCAGCTGTCGGAAGTGGAGCGGGCGGGGGGTGGAAGGCGCTCCGCGTGCGGAGCACGGTTTTAAAGGGCCTGCGTCCTCCCGGGCGCCCCCTCCCAGCAAGGGCAGCAGGGCCAGAGCGGACCCGCAGCCCCCGGGCCGTCGTCTTCCTCCCTCCCGCGTCCATCTGACCTGGGCGCTGAGAGGGGCTGCGGGCCGGAGCGGCGGGGGTCGGGACGAGAAGAGCGAGGTGGAGAAGCGAAAGGAGAGGTCTTTCGGGGCCGAGGCCGGGAGCAGTGTCGGGCCGGCGGGGGTCCGTCCGGGGCCCTCCCCCCACCCTGGCGGAGCTCACCCGTGTGCGTGTCTCTGTGCGCGCGCGCGCGTGTGTGTGGTGGGGGCTGCAGTCGCCGCCCCCCCCAGCCGAGCGGTCAGGGACGCTGTGCGCTGGGACCGGGGACCGCCCCTCCCCGCAGGCGGCCCCAGCCTCACCGTCGCGTCCTCGGCGGCGCTGTGGGCGCCACGACCCGGCAGGTGTGCGGCGCCGCCTCTGTGCCGGGCTCCGGCTCCAGACTCCCGCAGTGGCCGCTTCAAGTCCGCTCAGGGGCGTCGGCCCCGAGGGTGCCGGTCCCGCCCCGGCTCCGAAGGGCCGCCCCTCCGGCCCGCCCCCGCCCCGCCCGCGCTGCGGCGGCCGCGGCTCCGGCGCCTCCAGCCCCTCCCACCTCGTGTGCGGTGCCGCCTCCGCGCCAGCCCGGCGGCTCCAGCCAGACGGGGCACCGCAGTGCAGCGACCGCGTCCCCGCCGCCACACGGCCACGGCCCCCCGCAGAGCGGGCGGAGGCCTCCGAGGCCCCACCCCTTCTGCCCTTCCCGAGGGGAGGCGTCCTGCAAAGGCCGCCGAGCTGCTCAGCCTGCAGCCCCCTGGCACTGCAGCGGCCACAGCCGTCCCAGCGTCAGCCCTCGCTCCCCGTCCCCCAGCTCTAGCTAGGCTCCCCATCTCTTCAGTGACCCTCCCTCATCCCTGCCGCGAACCCCAGCTCCCTCTCACCGTTGGACCCGGAGCCCCAAGGAGCCATCCCCTTTCCTTCGCAGAGAGCTCCTTCGTCACTGCAGAAACCTTGCAGGTCTGCAGGTGTCCTCAGCTTGTGTGACCACTTCAGTGACCACTCACTCCCAGCAGGGATCCCCCTCACCGCAGCGACTCCCCCCGCCAGAAAGCAGACAGCCTTCCCGCCACTGCAGTACAATCTACCCACTTTTTCTGAGGGTGGGGAGGGTGGGCAGGATCACCACCGCAGGCTTTCACTCCCTGTACTTCAGCTGCCCACTGCCTTGGAAGTGAGACCTTCCAGCCTGCAGAGCCTTCTGGTGGCTGCAGACTAGCCCCCAACTGTAGCAGTGACCCCCACTCCATCACTGCAGCATGAAAAAACATCTCTGCTTGTGAACAGGTTTTCTTTGATCTTGGCAGATTTTTCTTACAATTTGACAGTGTTGCGCTGCGAACCCGTGGGAGTCTGTAAAACCTCTCTTCAGTCCCTGAGGGGGAGCCTGGGAGCCCTGGGGGAAGTGACCATGTTCTGAGGTCACCCATCATGCCAGCTTTCTTGCAGAGAAAGAAAGCCCCAGATTCTGCAAAAAGAACTTGCAGAGAGCTGAGAGGGAGGGGCAGCGGGTGGGGAGTGAGGCTTTCAACCAAGACTTGGGTTCTCACCCCTCCCCATTTTATACTGACTGGGTCAGCACCACCCACAGTCCCTACCTTCTTGAGCGAGGAGCCTTCAACCACAGCCCTTTCTCTTACTCAAACTGCTCACCATGGCGGCCTTCACTTGGCCTTTTCCCAGGGAACTTCATGGTGGAAATGCACAAGGATGACACCACCCAACGGCCCCGCCCACCAGGAGCTCCAGCTGTAGTCTGCACTGTCCCAGCGGCCTCTCCTCCCTTCTCTGCTGCACCCGTGCCCAGCTTCATTCTGAGTGCTCTTCCCTCTCCAGGCATGGGGAGAAACAGTAGGCCGTGAGTGGGCAAATAGGCCCTCCAGGCGCTCCAGGCAGGACCAGCCCAGGCCCCGAGGGCTCTGGGAAGTCCAGGCAATGGCCACGTCCCCATGGTGGTTTTGTGCTCTGCTGCTTCTTGCAAATGACCCAACATCTGCATGTGGCTCTCAGGCCAAATGCAAAGCTGCAGGGAAGCAGTCATCAGGGGGGCCTCAAACACATGGAAATGAAGTAAGAGGTCCTTCTCTTTGGTCCCCAGGAGAGCTTGGATGTACGACAGTGTTCCAGGAAGACAGTGTTCCTGTCAGAGACTAGATAGCACACTGGCAGAAGCCAAGCTTTGCTGGGAAGCTGGACCAGCCCAGAGGTCCTGCTGAGAAGTCTGTCTTGGCTGAAGGCAAACGGAGGGAGAGGCAGGTCAGCAGCTCCAGTTCTACAAGAGGCATAAATCACCCTGCAGGATGGGGCAGGGCTGTAACATTTAGGGAGAAGAAGGGCTTTGTGGGGATGGCAAGCAGGATCTCTAAGGCCCAGCTGGGAGCACTCTGGTGGCTGGGGTGCAGCATGGCAGGCAGCTGGGGCTGATAAGGAGGAGAAGGCACAGCTCAGCTCCAGAGGAGGCCCTAGGCAGGGCTAAGGAATGGCTTGGAGCTTGGGTGGTCTGCCATGTGGCAGGCATAAGGGACAAGGTGGGTAATACAGTGCTAAAAACATACAGACTCTGTCTTGAAGGGCTCATACTTTAACTAGAAATAGATTCTCACTTCTTTTTGTCTTTCACAATACAAACATTTTTTAAGAGTTCTGGCCATTTTCATAGAATGCCCCTCAGTCTGGGTTTGTCTTGTTTGCTCATGATTAGATGCAGGATATTCACTCTTGGGAGGTATAAGTAATGGAGGTTTCTCACTATATCACATTAGGATGTGCATGTCAGTTACTATTACTGGTGATACAAACGTTGATCATTGGATTCAAGTGCTGTATTAGGGTCCCAGTTAGAAGCAAAAGCAATAGGAGATGTACCCATATCTATGTATGTGTTTATGTTATTTATATTTTCACTTATTTATTTATTTATTATAAGGAAGTGTCTCACCCAATTGTGGTGGCTGGCAAGTGCAGGCGAGTAGGCTGAAGACTCAGGAGAGCTGGTGGTGCAGGTGAAATCTGAAGGAAGTCCACTAGAAAATGCCCTCTTGCTGGAGAGACTGGTCTTTTTTTCTTTTTTAACGATTTTATTTATTCATTTCTAGAGAGAGGGGAAGGGAGGGAGAGGAAGAGGGAGAGAAACATTGATGTGTGAAAGAAACCTCAATTGGTTGCCTCTGGCACACCCCCAGCCAGGGACCCAGCCTGCAACCCAGCCGTGTGCCCTGACTGGGAATCCAACCAGTGACCTTTCAATTTTCAGGCTGACACTCAATCCACTAAGCCACACCAGAGGCTGGTCTTTTTATTCTACTCAGACCTTCAACTGATTGGATGAGGCCCACCCGTGTTATGGAGAACAGTCTGCTTAATTACAGGTCAATAATTTAAATGTTACTCTCATCCAAAACCACCCTCTAAGTTGACACATGGAGTGAATTACATCACAAGATCACCAGGCTTTTCCATTGTAATACTGTTCTTTCTTTTTGTAATTAGATAAGCACATTTGTGGGGAGATAGTTTGAGCCTATGTAACTAAGTACCCAATCTTCAGCAAAATCTTTCCTACAAGTGTTAGCATCCATCAATGCTCCAATTACTGTACTATTTCATGCCAGTTTTATTGAGGCATAATGTATATACAATAAAATGCAGTTTTTATGGTAAAATGCAGATAAATAAAATTTACCATTAACGACACTTAATATGTTCAAAGTGTTGTGCCACCATCACTCCTACCCAGTTCTAGGGCATTTTCATCACCCCAGAAGGAAACCCCATATTAAGTAAAAAGTCACTCTCCATCCCCACCCCCGCTGCAGCTTCTGGAAACCACTCGTATGCTTTCTGTCTCTATAGACTTCCTTACTCTGCATACTTCACACAGACCCTACAATATGTGGCCTTCATGTCTTGCTTCCTTCACTCAGCACAATGTTTTTGAGGTTCATCTATGTTGCAGTATATATCAGTATTTTATTCCCTTTTCTTGGCTGAACAATATGCCGTTGTATAGATGAACTGCTTTTGTTTATCCATCATCAGTATACAAACGTTGGTATTTCCCACCTTTTGGCTCTTGTGAAAAGGGCTGCTCTGAACCTTCATGTACCACTTTTTTGTTTGAACACCTACTTTCAGTTCTTTTGGATGCACACCTGGGAGTGGGTATTGCTAGGTCATATGGTAATTCTCAGTTTAACTGAGGTTTTCCATGCCAGCTGAAAAAATTTACATTCCTACCAGCAACATGCAAGGGTTTCCTGGTTTTCTTTTTTTTAACACCTTGCCAACACATCAAAACCTCAATTTAGTGTTTTGCTTTTATGGGTCATGCTTTTGGTATTATTTTAAGAACCTTTCACTAAGCCCTAGATCCCAAAGATTTTCTCTTATGTTAGCTTCTAAAACTTTTACAGTTTTACACTTAATTTTTTTATTCACTTGAAATAACTTTTATATGTTGAAATAATTTGGGTCAAGGTTTTGTTTTGTTTTCTCCCTTTATGGATGTTCAATCGCTCCAGCACCATTTGTTGAAAAGACGATCCTTCTTCTGTTGAATTGCTTTTGCACCTTTTGTCAAAAACCAGTTGACTGTATTTGTGCAGGGCTGTTTCTGGGCTCTGGATTCTGTTCCACTGGTCTGTGTGTCTGTCCTCCTGCCAATACCAAACAGCCTTGATTACTGAGGACACACAAGATATGTAAGATGACATGAAATTGTGTAGAGGGATTCCTCCCACTTTATTCTTATTTTCAAAATTGTTTTAGTTATTCCAGTTCCTGTGCCTTTCCATATAAATTTAGAGTAATCTTGTCTCTATCTACAAAAAATCTTGCTGGGATAGTGATAGGAATTGCATTAAACCTGTCTATCAATTTGGGGACATCTTTACTATATAGAACCTCCTTTACTATATTGACATCTTTACTGTATTGGATCTCCTAATTTAATGTGGTATGTTTCTCCATTTGTTTAGACCTTTTTATTATTCATTTTTTGGTTTATGATAGTGGCTACAAGAAACTGCATTTTTCTTTGCAATCATCATGATAAGGGAATGTGCCTGTCTTGGGAGAAAGCCCCACTCTGAACAATGAGAAATGAAAGAGTAAAAATTAGCTAAGCAGAGGATGGGAGAGAGGGTTTCCAGCAGAGGGAACAGTGTGTGCAAAGCTATGAGGAGAAAGCTTGGAGCCTTACAAGAAATAAAGGAAAGTTCTGTGTAGTTACTGCATTGCTCAGGGTTTAAAGTCTTGTTAAGGATTTCCAAATGTACTTGAAACCAGGTGGAAAGTCACTCGAGGGCTTTTAAGCTAGGGAATGATGTGATTGCACAGGGTTTATTTCAATTTCATTATATCTTTTTATTTTTTTAAATTGTGGCAAAGTGTACATAACAAAATTTACCACCTTCACCATTTTTAAGGACACAGTTCTGTGGC